GAATTGAATCGCTGAACCACAGCATGTGCATATGTTCCCACATAAGGTATGAGGCACATGCAAAGAATGAACGTAATCGGTCCACAGGATTCTGAAATATGACTCTTGACAGACAGACGGTCGGACGGACGGACAGACTCAGGAACTCATGGACGGTCGGGGACATGTATCCTAACATGTATGATCTATGTACTAAATTTGAATGAAAATTGACAAAGCAAGTCCAAAATACATTTTCAAAAAACAAGATGGCTGCCAGTCGGTAATTTTTGATCCAATTGTGAAATAAATCGTCATGGACATGTATCCAAACATGTTTAAACTATGTACTAAGTTTGAATGAAAACTGACAAAGCATGTCCAAAATACAACATTTTAAAAAAACAAGATGGCTGCCAGTCGGCCATTTTGAATCAAATCGCTAAACCACTGCATGTGCATATGTCCCACATAAAGTACTAGGCACATGCAAAGAATGAACCTAATCGGTCCAAGGGATTCTGAGATATGACTCTGGACGGACGCACGGACGGAGACCGAATTATAAGTCCCCGTTTTCGGACTTCGTCTGAACGGGGGGACTAATTAACAAAAATTTATTTTTACACCCTATAAAAACATCCAATTCACTTTTTTTCCTACTGAGTGTTTGTATTTTTCAATGCTGGACTACAAGGAGCAAACAAGCAGCCTGTCGGCTGAGATAGCTCCGCTGTTAGCAATGCACATGGCAATTAAAGAACAGAAGATATCATTAGAAAATGAACAAATCTGAGAGAGGTCCACATGTAGTACCTATATGTATAATATATCAAAGCAAATATCACTTTTTACCAAAAATTAAAAAAATATTCATCAAAATTAGAGAATTAAAGATATCATCATGAAATGAACAAATCTGACAGAGGTCCACATGAAGTACCTATATATGTAATATCAAAGCAATTGGATTTGCGGTTTTCAACAAGAAGTCAAAAATATCACTTTTTACCAAAAATGACAAAAATATTCACCAAAATTAGAGAATTAAAGATATCATTACAAAATGAACAAATCTGAGAGAGGTCCACATGTAGTACCTATATATGTAATATCAAAGCAATTGGACTTGCGGTTTTCAACAAGAAGTCGAAAATATCACTTTATACCAAAAATTACAAAAATATTCACCAAAATTAGAGAATTAAAGATATCATTACAAAATTAACAAATCTGAGAGGTCCACATGTAGTACCTATAAATGTAATATCAAAGCAATTGGACTTGCGGTTTTCAACAAGAAGTCGAAAATATCACTTTTTACCAAAAATGGCAAAAATATTCTCCAAAATTAGAGATATCATTACAAAATGATCGAGGTCCACATGTAGTACCTATATATGTAATATCAAAGCAATTGGACTTGCGGTTTTCAACAAGAAGTCGAAAATATCACTTTTTACTAAAAATGACAAAAATATTCACCAAAATTAGAGAATTGAAGATATCATCATGAAATGAACAAATCTGAGAGAGGTCTACCCAAGGTACATATACACCAAGGATCAAAGCATTCAGGCTTGTAGTTTTCAAGAAGAAGTCGAAAAAGTAAAACATTGACACGGACGACGACGGACAATCACTCATATGATAAGCTCCGCTCGACAAAGTCGACAGCGGAGCTAAAAAGGTGTACAGCATCCTTAAAATGGCCATCATTCAGCTGTTGTTAAGAGGATCATGAAACAAATGCACATATCTTTTTGTGACATGATGTACCACGTGTGTGTGAAGTTTGAACTTGATCAATCCAGACATGTCTCGGATACGGATCCAGAACTGAATTCTTTAAAACAAAATGGCCGCCAGTCGGACATTTCGAACTTGATCCGGGAAAAAAAATGACGTGCATCAAGGTCTTATTATGTTTAATGTATGTACCAAATTTGAACAAAATCCGTCCATGCATAACTGAGATCCAGGTCCGAAATGGTGAAAATGTGCCATTTCAATGCATTTTCGGCCTTAAAGCAGCCGCCATTTGGCTATCGTTAATGAGATCATGAAACAAATGCACATACATATTTGTGACATGATGTACCTTGTGTGTGTGAAGTTTGAACTCGATCAATCCAGGCATGTCTCAGATACGGATCCAGAACTGAATTATTTAAAACAAAATGGCCGCCAGTCGGCCATTTCAAACCCGATCCAAAAAAAAAAAATAACATGCATCAAGGTCCTATTATGTATCAAATTTGAACGAAATTCATCCATGCATAACTGAGATCCGGAATGGTGAAAATGTGCGATTTTGATGCATTTTCGGCCTGAAAAAAATGCATGTGCATATAATTTGTGATGTATGAGTGAAGTTTGAACTTAATCGGTCCATGCATGTTCGAGATACAGGTGATCACGAACGCACACAGGGCAAAACACATATCCCCGTTTTCGGACTACGTCCGAACGGGGACTAAAAATTAGTTGTTTTAAAAAGATAAGTTGAAGAATAATTTAACATTGTTTACAGTGATAACAGCTCATTGTCGAAACGAAGCTTACCCATTCACCCTAGTCACAATGAACATACTTCTGAACTACGGTGAAACTTTTAGGCATCAGGAAAGATTAAAATAATGCCGATAAATAGCCCTGGTTGATTTCTTGGTCCCATTTTATTTTTTTAAGAACCCAAACGTCCCAGGGCGAATTTACGGCAGAGTCTAGTTGCCAATGAATTTATGAATGGCAAGATTTCCCCCAGTCTGCCATTATGAATATATAAAATTTGAACATAAGCATGTCAACCGCATTGATTAAAACAAAATGACCACCAGTCGGCCATTTTGAATTGGATCTGAAAAACAAAAGGATGTGCATCAATTAAATCCATTGCACGCTTACAATACTGGAGAGCATATATCAGATATTTTGTTGATATATGATTAGTCAATTTACCTGGTCACATGACCATTGATTATCGAATTATAATGCATTCCATAACAATTTAAAAGATAGACTTGTAGCCATCTTGTTTTTTGGTAATAAGAGAGAAATGTCATTGACACGTTAGTCTTGAAATGTACCAGATCTAATTATTGCTGTTGTAAGCTGGATGACAGTTTAGATGAATGTAGTTTATAGAAAGGCAAATAAAATACAATGATTTATTTTCTCACCAGGTTCATGGAAACCGTATAAATCTGCTTATGCTGATACAGATAAAGCTGCTCTACCTGCTGATAAGTACTATTGTAAATTATGTGATAAACGTTTAAATGGACCCAAACCATACAGTGCTCACATGGCCAGTAAAGCTCACAAAGAGGAAGAAGAATATGTAGCCAGTAACAACTAACAAGCACTCCAACCATAGTTTGGTTCTTTCACATTTTTACTATAATATTTGTAACAAGACACATTTTACATTAATAAAGAGTTTTTATTTCTGAATTCATCAAGTTTACTTACAGTGATTGCAAAAAAAGTTTTTAATAAAGAACTACTCTATATAGTTACATATCTTTTACAGTGGGATTCACACCTGGACATGTTGGATCCTTCCAGCCCCCACTTTTTTCATAGCACACTGGGCGAAAAAAAACAAAGAACTGAGAGCATGAGAAGTATTGTGTTTTATAACTGTCAGGAGCTAATTCGACCAAAATAAAGTTCATTTCAAAAATAGGCACTGTGGTCACAACATGAAAGGTCAGCAAGCATAGAAAGTATAATAAAGTATTGTTCTAATTCCAACAGAACAAGCCCATTGTGTGCATATTCTGCTGAACACATTGCTGTAGTGAAACGCTTAGGCAACATACGTGTACATTTTTCTGCAAGAAAACAAAAAATAAGTGTTAATTGCACAGATACAAAGTACACCCAAGTAGAAAGAACCTCACCATATTTTTGTCTGTTATAAGTGCATCTCAAGCAAAAAAATTGCGTTTTGGTGGAATATTTATGAATATTATCCACTCAATAAGAGCAAATTTTGCATGCTGCTGTGATCCATACTAAAACTAACCTGTCATCTGGAGTTCTTGCCAAGTATTCTCTTTCTATCAAGTTTTCAATTCGTTTCTTAATAACAACAGGGCTAGGTAAAAATCGTGACTTCAATTGCTCAGTAACCTGGAGAGAAAAAAAAACATGCCAAAGTCAACACACACAAGCTTTTTTCCCCACTCTATGTACAGCAATAGCAATTCCATTGAAAACAAGTGTTGTATTCTCACCTCTGCAACAAGCAAGTTATGTGACCTCCTTTTCCTTGATTTCATAATACGAACAATTGCAGCCTCAATTTCATGTTTTCTGTCTTCATCAACACGGCTTCTTGTTTCTTTTCTCTCTGGTTCCGACTCTCCTTTGGCAGCAACTATATAAAAGGTACACGCAAATTAGAGTTTCATTTAAATAATCATTAAGTCTGTGTGTACGATCCATAGAAACAAGTATATATGGAGGATTTATGGATCACAAATACCTGTTTGTATCTTAACTCTGTGCAACTTTGATGAGAAATGATCATTGACAGTAAATGAATCATTGGGTTCTGAAAAAAAAAGATAACGGTAACAGCTTTATTAAAATAATTACTTGTATAATAATTTCAAGTACACAGTGTATTTTATAGCATGATGAGTATAAGCCCACCCTATGTTTTTAGACATTTAACAGGTTGAGGGCATCCCTGAGTATAGGCCCAGGGTGTTTTTAACGGGCGTCAACGACATTTATTACAAATATGCATGTAAAAAGTGTATTTCATTGAATAATAATCGTGATTGGTACGGTAGTTTGGTTCCTGCTTTTACAAGGAAAATAGTGCATGGCCGGTGAACGTACGGAATTTGAGACTATCTTGAATGGGATGTGAACGAGTAAACTATTCTTCAACATGACTTGTTGGCGACCGTGAAAAGTTAAATTACTTCTTCCACCCTCAGTTTATCTTTCGAAAATTGAGAATCAACAGCTTTAGGGAAAAAATCACCTTTTTTTGTTGAAATCAGATCGCATTTTATCATCACAGTAATTCACTTCCCGCATTGCGTTGAAAAAATGACTTCGTCAATAATTGGAAAACTTGGTCTGTACGACACAGCATTTTGATTAGTTAACGAAAGACGTGACCTGTTAGGTCAAAGGAAGTTGTTCAGGTCAGATGATTATGAAAAACACCATGGCGGAAATTGAATTGTATCGAGAGTTTGCGTACGGTCAAAAACATTCCACAACGAAGATATTAACGATAAAGTTTTGCCTTTGACTGTTTTCCCACAGACCCTCCCCATTTTGCACCGTAAATTCAGACGGTATGTAAACCGTATTGTAATAAAATGTGTGTATTTTTATGAACACATTTGTTTCTTCATTTTAAAAAGTGTCGTGGAAATCAAAAAGACGTAATATTTCTCCGAAACCGGCACTGTGAACGAAAGATGTAATTTGGATAATTTTTCATGGTTGGGAAGATGGTTACAATTTTACCCCCCCCCCCCAAATTATCTTTTCTGAGGTGGTCCTCGAGTATAAGCCCACCCCCTAATTTTCCCGATTTTACATGTATAAGCCCAGGGGCTTATACTCGGAGAAGTACGGTACCCTATCAGGTCAGGAAACAAACATGAACAAAGGCAGGGCCTTTGAAATACACATTTTATTACGTACCAATCTCCTTTGACTTTGGTTCCTTTGATAGTACTCGCTGTTGTGGTTTACCACAGGCCAATGACTGAAGAGCTCTAATTAGATCTCTTGTTGGGATGTCAGTTTCTTGAGCAACTTCCTAATAACAGAATAAATTACAAATATAAACTGAATTAAACAAATGTGTCTTAATATAGTTTCATAAATACTACCATATGCAACTTACTTATTTTCAAAGTGTTGCAATTGTTGATTATGACTCAGTGATTATAATAATGTAGAAAAAATACATTCTTTGAATTGTTATAATATGCAAGTAAAATTCAACTTCCCAAGATTTTGGTTAAAGATGGCGGCTAATTTATTCATAATGTTTGTATATTTTTTTAATTTTTCGTAAACTGCTTATACATTTGTACACTACATTACTTTCAGTTTTATAACTTAGAATGAAAACATGAGTCATGTAAACAAGAAAATCAATATTATTATAAAGTAAATCATCCAATATTTGTGCAAAAATAGTGACAATCTTGGTTAATTGACAACATTAACTGAACTGTATAAAATATCCCTGGCTGTAGGGAAAACTGAAAGTTGCATGGGTTGTAAACAATCATGGCAGCTTGTGTGTTACCTCAATGAATATGGATCTACCCAGAATGCAGTATTTCGGTTGTCCAGACATAGCGTTATAATTTCAGTAACCTCAATGGCTTGTCTGTGAATAAGGTAGGCCAAAAGGTCATGATGGAAAGCAAGTCAAACTTGTTGACATCAAGTTTTTGCAGTCTTACATGAAGCCTGCAAAGATTTTTTTATTTAATTGATGTTTCAATCAATAGTACTTTCACGAAAAGTTTTTTTTTCAACATTGGAATCAGCATTTTTTTTAATGATTTTTGTTTTCAAATCAGACATCCGTCGTGGTGTCATCGGTAAGGCAGCATTCAGACTGAATTTGTGATGTTTTACTGATTACTATAAATCAGTTACAATGGAAAAAGCATGTTGCACATTTTTTCTCTATTTTTAATTTCATGTATGATTTATTTTCGCCATTACAATAATCTTTGCTTAAAACGTTTTATTATAGCATGATCAGTGAACCTAAACTTTCAATGAGTACATGCCGATCCAAATAAACTTAGCAGCCATTTGACTTACGGAAAAGATTTACCCATGTTGTAGTACAATCTTTTGGCTTTGATTTTGAAAGATAAACTGAGCTTTAACACTTTTTACGGTGATAACAGGTCATTTTTGAAACAAAGTTTACCCATTCACGCTGGCCACAATAAATATCAGACCTTTGAAGAGCCATCAGTGACTACAGAAAACCTAAATTAGACGTCAGGAAAGATTAAAAACGTTTGAAAAATGATGCCTAAATTAGAGTTTTTATGGTATTCTGCAATTTCACCAGTTTACCAAAATCAAATGTCATTTATCCCTGTGGGCTTGTACAGCTTGTAAAATTGTTGAGAGTTGCTAGGACAATTGTATATATTTCCTTGTAAATCGTTAGGAAATCCAATATTGCCGAGTAATATCAGCCAAAGAAAATTGAAACAAGCAGCTCCACTGTTAGCAATGAACATTTCAATTAAAAAACTGAAGATATCCTTGTAAAATGAAAAATATGTATAGTAGGACTTGCTGTTTTTAACAAGTCTAAAATATCAATATTTACCAAAAATGAAAACATTATTCATCAAAATTGGTGAATTGAAGATATTATAATGAAATAAACAAATCTGAGAGAAGTCCACATTTAGTACCTATATATGTAATATCAAAGCAATCGGAGTTGTGGTTTTTAACAAGAAATCAAAAATATTCACCAAAATTAGAGAAATAAAGATATCATTACAAAATTAGCAAATCTGAGAGAGGTCCACATGTTGTACCTATATATGTAATATCAAAGCAATCTGAGTTGTGGTTTTTAACAAGAAATCAAAAATATTCACCAAAATTAGAGAATTAAAGATATCATTACAAAATGAACAAATCTGAGAGAGGTCCACATGTAGTACCTATATATGTAATATCAAAGCAATCGGAGTTGTGGTTTTTAACAAGAAATCAAAAATATTCACCAAAATTAGAGAATTAAAGATATCATTACAAAATGAACAAATCTGAGAGAGGTCCACATGTAGTACCTATATATGTAATATCAAAGCAATCGGAGTTGTGGTTTTTAACAAGAAATCAAAAATATTCACCAAAATTAGAGAATTAAAGATATCATTACAAAATGAGCAAATCTGAGAGAGGTCCACATGTAGTACCTATATATGTAATATCAAAGCAATCGGACTTGCGGTTTTTAACAAGAAGTCGAAAATATTCACCAAAATTAGAGAAATAAAGATATCATTACAAAATTAGCAAATCTGAGAGAGGTCCACATGTTGTACCTATATATGTAATATCAAAGCAATCTGAGTTGTGGTTTTTAACAAGAAATCAAAAATATTCACCAAAATTAGAGAATTAAAGATATTACAAAATGAGCAAATCTGAGAGAGGTCCACATGTAGTACCTATATATGTAATATCAAAGCAATCGGAATTGTGGTTTTTAACAAGAAATCAAAAATATTCACCAAAATTAGAGAATTAAAGATATCATTACAAAATGAACAAATCTGAGAGAGGTCCACATGTAGTACCTATATATGTAATATCAAAGCAATTTTTAACAAATAGTCAAAAATATCACTTTTTACCAAAAATAACAATCAAAGAAAGCTTAGAAAGAACTCCCATGTGCTGAGAGTATTGGAGACATATTAAATTTAAAATTCAAATTTACTTGTACTTGATTGAGATAGTGATGGAAAAACTGAAAACTAATAAAGCAAATCAGAAAATTAATATGGACAGATTTGAGTGTCAAACTAATGAGGCCTGCGCAATGTAACAGACCATCTATGTACCAAGTTTTATTGAA